TGTGTGTGTGTGTGGGGTCAACAGAGCAGCTGCTTCACTAGAGGCTTAATTGTGAATGGGGCAACAAGAAACGTTCACATGTAAGTAAAGGCCAGGGCCAGGAAGACTAGATTTAAAAAGACTGTGGGGATACCAGTAGGTGAGCAGCTTTCCCTCTAAGGTGCAGTAAGTGCCATACAGTAATAATGAGCCGCTTAAACACAAATATTCATTTATGGAGCACCAGCTGTGTGCCCTACTAGGCAATGGTGAAACAAAGTCAGGTTCTTTATTTTCAAATGCGCATCATAACCAAGCATATTGTACTCACTAGAAATCATCAGGTTATTTTTAATTTATCACTAAGGCATCAAAGTCACATCTATTCATTCCTATAAAGAATCCTGAGGAATCCAAGGCCTGGGAAAACTGAAAACAACCTACATGATCATAGATGCGGGTACAGCCAAAGGATTACTACATCAAGCAGCCAACAATTTAAACAAGGTCACTCTAAGATACACTGTAAGATTTTTCCAGTATTATTTATGCCATCAAGTTTAAGAAAAAACAACTTACTAATGAGAGTCATACAGTTAACTGCATACACACAATTATAACAATCTCTCTTCAAGTATGTATTTAAAATATTGTTTAGCTAGGTGCAGTGGCCCATGCATGCACTTGGGAAGCAAATGCAGGAGGATCACAAGATCAAGCCAGCCCCAGCAAATTTAGTTAAGATCCTGACTCAAACAACAAAAAGGGATAGGAGCTGGTGAGGATTGGGGGGTGCTGAGGATGTAGCTCAGTGGCAGAGTGCTTGCCTAGCATACGCAAGGCCCTGGATCCAACCTTAAAGAGAAAAAAGAAAAAAGAGAACTTCCTGCTAGGCATGGTGGCACATAACTGTAATCTCTGAGTCAAGAGGCTGAGGCTGGAGGATCATTAACTTTGAGGCCCTCATTGGCAACTCAGCAAGACCCTGTCTCAAAATAAAAACTTACATGTTTTATGGCGAAACAAAACAATTAACTAGGTCATAATTCATATAATTTTTTTGGTTGGAGGAGTTGGGGATTAAACCAAAGCAATGCTGAGTATGCACTCTGCCAATGAACTACAGCTTTCAGAGAAATCTCTTTTTTTCCCCCCAATTTTTTTTTTGTAGTTCTAGATGGACACAATATTTTATTTGTTCATTTTTAACGTGGTGCGGAGGATCAAACCCAGTGCCTCACGCATGCTAGGCAAGCACTCTGCTGCTGAGGTACAGCCCCAGCTCAGCATTCAGAGAATCTCTGAACCAGAGTTTTCTGTAGTATAGTGGTGATCCAGTTTCCCTAACATGCAGATCCTGATATGACATTTAACAAAATCCTGAATTTAGAGATTTATAGTATAGAGGTCAGGAGCACAGTCCACAGGTAAAACAGACTCCATGTTTCTAAATTCTGGATTTGTCTATAAACCAAGTATATGACTCCGAACAGTCAAAAACAAGCTCAACTTTGGTCACCTTATAGGAAAATGAAAACACAACTACACTTCAAAAGTTGTCTCAAGGGCTGGGGATGTGGCTCAAGCAGTAGCTTGCTCGCCTGGAATGCGTGCAGCGCTGGGTTCGATCCTCAGCACCACATAAAAATAAAGATTTTGTGTCCACCGAAAACTAAAAAATAAATATTAAAAATTCTCTCTCTCTTAAAAAAAAAAAATGCATGTGAAAACAGAGAGGTTAGGACCTGTCATCTGCTGCTGAGAGAGAAGCCCAGGAAAGGTGATATTGGGTATGCAAAAAAGGTGTATGTGGCATTAAAGAACCAGCACCTAGAAGAGTCAGGAGATAGGGGTTGGAGATGTGGCTTAAGTGGTAGCACGCTCGCTTGACATGCGTGAGGCACTGGGTTTGATCCTCAGCACCACATAAAAATAAAATAAAGATTATTGTGTCCACCTAAAAAAACTAAAACTAAAAAAGAAAAAAGAAAAAAAAAAAAAAAGAGCCAGGAGATAAATTTTTAAAAACCAAGGAACCACTAACCTATATGACCAGGAGAGTCAGTTCCATTCTAGGCTTGTCAGTGTGGGTTCACTGTACACGACAAGTCAGAAAGGGACTGCACGCAGCACTATTTACAGTGCTCTAAGGCCCTGGGCAAAGTGGTGGGATGGTTTAGAGGTGCAGGCCAATGAGAAGGACTCCTTTAGCTATGCCTGTCCCAGGTGAGGGACGGAGGGAATAATGAGAAGAACATCACTGGGCACAGTGTGAAGCGCACCTATACTCCCAGTGAAGCTGAGGCAAAGTACTGCAAGTTTGAGGCCAGTCTGGATCATATATCAAGACCCTGTCTCAAAATAAAAAGTTGATAAAGAGATTCAGGATGCAGCTCAGTAGCAGCAAAACACACACACACACACACACACACACACACACACACACTTTCTATGACTATTCCTGACTTGAAAAGTTAAAAATGGCTAAAATGGTAAATTTTATGTTAACAAATAATAGGTTTTTTTTTTTTTTTTTTAAATATCTTTATTTAGGGGGCTGGGGCTGAGTGGTAGAGCACTTGTCTCGCATGTGTGAGGCCCTGGGTTTGATCCTCATCACCATAAAAATAAAATAAAAAGGTATTGTGTTCACCTACAAATTAAAAAAACATTTTTTAAAATATCTATTTATTTTTATGTGGTGCTGAGGATCGAACCCAGTGCTTCACATGTGCGAGGCAGGAGCTCTACCTGTGAGCTACAGCCCCAACCCCCCCCCAAATAATATAGTTTTAATCCCGATTATCTAACACCTTGGAACTTGAAATAACAAAGACTGATAACTAGGACCATCTGGAAGAGAGAAATAAACATATGGGTTATATTTTCCATTTGCTACCATCCTAAGCAAGATCCTAAGCAACTCAGTGAGACCCTATCTCAAAACAAAACAAAAAACGGAGTTGTAGCTTAGTGGTAAAACAATTCTGGGTTAAATCCCCAATACCAAAAAAACAAAAAAAAAACAAAACAAAAAACAAAAAACAAAAAAAAACAGGCAGGGTCAGGAGGAGTGTAGGGGTCAGAGGCAGACTGCTCATATAATGTGTGAAGCCCTGGGTTCTCCCCAGCATTGTAAATAACAATAAATAAAGAATTTTTAAGGGCTTGGGATGTGGCTCAAGCGGTAGCGCGCTCGCCTGACATGCGTGCGGCCCGGGTTCGATCCTCAGTGCCACATACAAACAAAGATGTTGTGTCCACCAATAACTAATAAATAAATATTAAAAAATTCTCTCTCTTAAAAAAAAAAAAGATTTTTAAAATGACAGAGCTGAGTCTATTTTAATTCCAAAACTCCTGTTCTTCTTCTTATTATTTTTTAATATTTATCCTTTAGTTGTACACAATTATTTTATTTTTTATGTGATGCTGAGGATTGAACCCAGAGACCCACATGTGCTAGGCAAATGCTCCACCACTGAGCCACAACCCCAGCCCCTCCAAAGTTCCTATTCTAAACAACCACGACACTGCCTGCAGTATAGGTCCTAATCCTACTTCCTCCTCAACCCTGTCTACCTCTCTAGGTCCTTGGAACATCAGCACGGACAGGATACCTTCACTTGTCTCCTACTATTCCAGGGTATTTCTTTTGTCTCCTTAATTGAACACTGGCTTCTCCCAAAGCAGGGATAGCCACAACATCTGGTTCCTCCTCAGCCTATTGCCTTTTAAAACAGGGTGTATCAGCTGTGTCATATGGATGCTACAAAGATTCAAGGAGCTAGTATGTGTACAGCGCTGAGAATGGCACTTAAATACTCTCATTACTTTGTATATCACACAGTATTTAATCAGACTTCTAAGATATGGGTTGTTTCGGTCCAATCTCCTTTGTTATTTACAACCTGTATTCTCTTGGGCAAAATACTTAATCTCTCTATCTGTTTCTTCATCCCAAGAAGCCAAATCTGGAATAATTTCTATCCTGTCTACTTTGAAGGTACCCTGATATGGAGATGTATGAGAAAACACTCTGGAAATTACAAAGTTGAATCAGGGGTTCTTACCTCAGCAATACCAACATTTAAGCTGAACAGCTCTATCTCAAGTGCTGTCCTATCCACTGTAGATATTTAGCAGTACCCCAGGACTTTCTCTAACCACTAGATGCCGATAATATCTCCCTACCCAATTGTAACATCCAAAAATGTCTCATGACATTAACAAAATGGTCCCTGTTGAGGCTCACCAGATTATGCTAACTCACTACCAGGGATTCCTTTCATGAACAGCAGTAAAAGATGCTTATGTCATAACCTTTACAAACTAGTGGCTGTTTCCTGAAGGTTTTCAATGTGCCAGGGACTAAGGGATTAGCTTCCCCCCAAATGGCACCAGCTGGCACTTCCTCCATACCAGGTCCCACAGTACTTAGAGAAAGCACTTTCTGAAGGCTGCTCTTCTGACATGCGTGAGACTCATTCCTGCTTAACTCACATTTGTCTATACAAATGGATATATTTCACCCTCCAAATTATCTCCACCCTACCATCTCCTGTCTTGCTGTCACTTTTATTTAGTTACTGGAAAAGTTTTACTCACAGATAAGAATAAACTTATACTCTAATTTGATCTTCTTGCTAGTTACTAAGTAAGTTTTACATATTTTTTATAGATCTTTCTTTTTTTTTTTTTCCTTTTTGAGATGCTGGGGATTAAACCTAGGACCGCACATATGTTAGGTAAGTGTTCTATGTTGAGCTATGGCCTCAGCCCCTTCTTGTTTATTTTTTCAGTGCTAGGAATGGAACCCAAAGTCTCTTATGTTCTAGGCAAACACCCTACCACTGAGTTAAACCCCCACTCCTCCTGGACCCTTTTTGAATCAATATAGTGCTTGGGTAAGGAGAAAATCTGACTTGGCAAATGTCACAAAACGATGTGTACACTGAGCCATATCTGCAGAAATTAAAACCAAAAGCCCAGTAGAAGGATGCTCTGCCTTCAGGACTCACCTTGCAAGAGAAAGTAATCAGAGGTCGTGCGCTTCAGGGCAGCCTTAGCTTTCTCAGTGCTCCAGTCCACCTCCAGCGCCTCTTTCACAGGGCAGAAGACTACCTTCTGTTGGAAAAAGGCAGAAGTACTTAGGGATAAAATATGCTGGCTTCAAATTATAAAGCAGAAACTATTTCCATCTCAAAGAAATTACTTAAAGTTTACTGATCATTAAGAAGTTGGGAGTGGGGGTTGTGTCTCAGTGGTAGAGCATCCACCTAGCATGGATGAGGCCCTGGATCCGATCCTCAGCATCACATAAAGGTAAATAAATAAAACAAAGGTACTGTGTGCAACTACTCAGTGGTAGAGCGCTTGCCTTGAATGTGTGAGGCCCTGAGTTTCTTAGAGCCACATAATAAATAAATAAAATAAAGGTATTGTTTGTCCATCTACAACTAAAAACTAAAAAAGAAAAGAAGTTAAGGCCCAGTTAAAACTAAGAAATGCTTGTTGAATACAGGAGACAGTGATGGTCATGTACCTGGCAAAGACAGAAGAGAGTGCCAAGTTCCTCAAGACCTAGTTCTATCTGGCTCTAACTTTGGCTATATTCACACTACAGAAATACATCACCACTGAGAACAAGAACAAGTATGTCTAAAGAAATTCAATAAAACTATCCTTCAAATAGCAAACAAAAACAACTAAAAAATTAAATGTTTCTCAGTAGAATGGTTTAATGATGACAGAGGATGACAATAAAAACAGTTAGAAAATGAATAAGGGGAATGTGACAAAAGCTCAAGGCCACAGAAACAGAACTAGAATTGCAAAAGCCCTGTGAAAGGAGGAAGTGAAGCTGAAACCTATTAAGATAATCATATTATTCTTTTAGTACTGGGGATTGAACCAAGGGCTTATCACATACTATAATAATGAACCCCAAAACCAGCCCCAAATTAACTATCCTGAAAAATGCAACAACATAGATTTAATTTAAAAATATACAACTTATTTATTTTCTAATTTTAAACAGTAAATAGGAATTATTTATCCCCCATAAAAATTCAGAAAATAACAAATTATTCTTCCTAAACAACTGAGTCCAAAAGTCATGCACAACAAAACACAAAAACACCCCACCATCTCATCTCCTAGATGGATGACAAAAATCAAAAACAAAAAGAAGTGGGCTGGGGACTAGAGTTGTGGCTCAGTGGTAGAGTGCTTGCCTAGCATTTGCAAGGCACTGGATGCGATTCTCAGCACCACATAAAAATAAAGGTACAACAACAACTAATAAAATATTTTAAAAAAAGGAAGAAGTAGAAGAAATGGGCTGGAGATATACAGCCCAACTGGTAGAGTGCTTGCCTCACATACACAAGGCCATGGGTTCAAATCCCAGCACCACAATTAAAAAAAAAAAAAAAAAGAATTAGCCAGCTACGATGGTGCATTCCTATAATCCCAGTGGTTTGGGAGACTGAAGCAGAAGGATCCTTAAGTTCAAAGCCAGTCTCAGCAACTTACTGAGGCCCTGAGCAACTCAGTGAGACCCTGTCTCTAAATAAATATATATAAAAAGTGCTTGCCTTGCATGCACAAAACCCTGGGTTGAATCCCAAGCATCAAAAAAATAAAAAATATAAAAAAGGGCTGGGGATGTGGGACTCAGGGTTAAGCACACGTGGGTTTAATCCCCCACCCCACAAAAAAGAATTTGAGGGGCCAAGTTTGTCAAAGAACAGAATTAGCAATACAGAAAGAGGAAACTAGAATGAATCCTGTGGTGGGAGAGAGACATCACTATGAATTTAATTTCAATATACACAAATCAAGAAAAAAAAGATACAAATGTGGGTATAGGAATATATTTGTATACATTCACATATAAAAATACTAAATATGTCTGCGGAGGTCTAATAGCAATGTCACTCTGGTAGTGGCAAGCACACTTAACATTCACATCTTTTTTTTTTTTTTTTTTTTTTTTGAGGTGATGCTGAGGATTGAACCCAGGGCCTTGTGCATGTGAGGCAAGCACTCTAACAACTGAAACTGAGCTTTATCCCCAGCCCCTCAGATCTAGGTTTCTAATCACCACTCCACTCCCCACTTGAATAAACATTTTTCCTAAGAAAAATGGCTGATTTCAAAACTGGGGCAGAGCCTGGCACTCAGGCCAACATCTATAATCCCAGTGACTTGGGAGGCTAAGGTAGGAAGATTGTAGGTTCAAGGCCAGCCTCAGCAACTTAACAAGATCTGTCTCAAAATGATGGGTATGCAGCTCAGTCGTAGTCGAGTACCCCTGGTTACAATCCCCATTATAAAGGGTGGGAATCAATGATGAGGTCAAGAGAATAGAAAGTAAAGAAATGCTCAGAAAAGGAAGGGGACATGTCAAAAGGAAAGCAGAGGCAGCTTTAGGGAGCTCCTACTAGTCAAATCTGGGGAAAATCAAGATAAAAATAAATGATAGCAATCCAACACTTCAAATAAACTGGAACCCATTAGGCCACATACCCAAAATTAACTGAATTAGTTATATGGTTGATAAGAAATGAGATATTAACATTTTAAAATGACTCTCCAAAAAATACATACACAAAACATAAAGAAAAGACTAACTTCCAAGGAGAAAAAAAATCCCGCAGACAACATTTTACTTGAAGAATCAAAGTTAACATTACTAGCAAATCACACAACCAGATTACAGGATGCAATGGGAAGAATCCATTCTATAACATTCTTTCCAAAGATATGAAATTGAAGTCTAATCAAAAGAAAACACAGATGAACCCAAACTAAGAGATGTTTTTGAAAATAACTAACTTACAATTTTTAAAAGTGTCATGAAAATCCATACATAATGCTGAACTGAATCCTTGTGCCATTAAGGACATTACTGGAATAACTAGCAAACCTAAATAACATCTAAGGATCAGAGAGCAATGTTGTATAAATGTAAATTCCCTGGTCGTGATGGTTGGCTTATGTTTATAGAAAACACTTGCTTGAGCAAACACAGACTGAAATATCTGGGGGTAGTGGGGGGCGGGGCATCATGTTGGAACCTTACCCCAAAATGATTCAAATTGAACAGTTGTTAATTCTTGCTCCATTTTGTAAATTTAAAATGTCATATGCAGGGGCAGGGATATAGCTCAGTTATCAGACTGCTTGCCTCACATGCACAAGGCCCTGGGTTCAGTCCCCAGCACAAAAAAAAAAAAAAGTACATTTTGAATTTAAAAATAATTTCAAATTTAGACAGGTACCTTTCCTCCTCTCTCCTCTCTCCTTTATTCCCTAGCTATCTAAAAAACCAAGTGAGCCTGGCTTGATGGCATATCCTGTAATCCCAGCTACTCAGAAGCCTGAAACAGGAGGATGACACAAGTTTGAGGCCAGTCTGGCAACTTAGTGAGACCCTGTCTCAAAATAGAAATTAAAAAGGCTGGGTAGCTCAATGATCTACAGTTCTGCAACAAACAAACAAAATAAAAAGGTGTAGCTCAGTGATAGTGTGCTTGCCTAACATGTGCCAGGATTTAATCTCCCATACCACCTCACCCACCCGTACCACAAACACAAAAAGACTACAAATTTCTAGGTCCAATCCCCAGATCTACTTATTTAAAATCTCCAGGGCAGGCATGGAGGGATCCAGGAGTATCCAGCTTTAAAAAGCATTCTAACAACCGACAACTGTAATTGATACAATCTGCCAGTAGAATAGCAAAACAGCATGAAGTCACTAAAGTTACATACTGTTGGCTGTAGAATGTAAACGGATAAAAACTTTTTGATTCTACTTAGCAGAATCTGCCAAACCCTATGATGCTCTAATTTAACCTAGAGAAAGTAACAGGATTGTCCTAGAGACTATCTACGCATACTCACAGACTTACTGTATCAGTTTTTAATGGCAAAAATGTACATGCCTAAATGCCCATGGACAGAATAGATATATAAACAATAATATATTTACACAATAAATACTTTACAGCAAAAGAATGCCCTGCATTGCTGCCCAAGACAATTTGCTGTGATGATGGAAATGGTGAACCTGGGCTGCACAATACCAAGAGGTATGTGTGGTTACTAAGCACTTGAAATGTGGCTAGTGAGACTTAGGGACTCAACTTTTTATGGCATGTAATTTTAATTATTTTAATTTAAATAATCATGTGGCTAGTGGCTACCATAATGGACAGAAAAGCCCTAACTCCATACAGATGTCCTCACAAACAAAAAGCTGCTATTAAAAAGCAGGTGCAGCACATATGCAATATGAAACCAATTCTGAAGTTAAAAGGCATGCAAAAGCAATTCCAGATAGTGCTTGGACATGTATACATATATATACACAATAAAAAAGAAATACAAGGGCTGGGATTTTGGCTCAGTGGCAGAGGGCTTGCCTTGTGCCATGTGAGGCACTGGGTTCGATCCTCAGCACCACATCAAAATAAATAAATAAAATAAAGGCATTGTGTTCATCCACAAGTTAAAAAAAAAAGAAATATATAGGGCTGCAGTTATGGCTCAGTGGTAGAGCACTTGTCTTGCACATGTGAGGCACTGGGTTCGAACCTTAGCACCATATAAAAATAAATAAGCAAAATAAAGTTACTGTGTCCTTCTACAACTAGAAAGAAAGAAAGAACGAATGAACACAGGAACAAGAAAAAATTGAGGATGATAACTCACGTTGGGAGGACAACCATGGGTTCTCAACCACTAGGGCAATGTTAATGCTTTAGATCGCAGGTGGGTTTCCTATATCCTTCTTATTTTATGTCTAAATTATTGCATAATAAGTCCTAAAGTTATACTTAGACACATGTGATACAACAAAGCCAAGTCAGGCACTGTGGCATAGGTATGTAATCCCAGGTAATCAGAAGGCTAAGCGAGAAGGATCATAAGTTTCTAGGCCAGCTTGCAAAACATCTCAAAATAAAATTTAAAAAGGGTTAGGGACATTACTCAATGTTATAGTGTTTGCTGACCATGCACAAGGCATGAGGTTCAATCCACAGAACGGTGGGGTGGTGGTGGTGGGGGCACCGCACCCAACAGGGTTGTGGGCTTTATCTGCCCTTCCAAGTATC